GTTTTTTTGGCCCTTCCCCGGTTTCGGTTTCTGGACCTTTCGCACGTGGCCTGCATCGAGGACCGTGGATTGCAGCAGAGACCCAACAACGGTGCAAGGCCGGTTGCGGGCGGTGCCCACCTGGTTCCCGTGGGCCCAGCGGGCCCAGAGGGGGGGCACCATGAAGGAAGAAGATCTAGCTGGGCCTACGGTTGTCAATGCCCGGTAATTATCGCCGTATCTGGGCTGAAAGTTGTGCCAAATACAGCTAAAATGACCGTCCGTTATAATTGCTATGATGACCGGCTGTTATAATTGGGTGAAGATGGTAGGTAGTTCAGTTGGGCATGCAGTGTTTTGGAGGTTGCACCCCTGCGGCATGCTGCCCCCGTGTAGCAATCACAGGAGCAGGCAGCCTTGTGGGCCCCAGCGGTATATCTAGCTGGGCCTGCTAATAGTTCAGTTGGGCATGCAGTGTTTGGAGGTTGCACCCCTGCGGCATGCTGCTGGCGCAGCAATTACGGGAGCAGCGTTAGGATTAGCGCTGGTAGGCTGGGAGATGAGTGGAGTAGAGGAGACCAGAGGAGATCAGCAGAGGGGCAGCGTGGAGGAAGGATACAAACCTGCCGCCATAGCTGCCTCAATTGCCTGCCCCCCAGTTGACGCCCACATGCAGCACGGACTGGTCAAGACTTCATCTCTCGCTGGTTGGTATCTGGTTACAAGAGAGAGAGAGAGAGAGAGAGAGAGAGTTGGTGACTATCATTGGGCTATACCCAGACTTGTACAAGACATCTGGACTGAGACTATCCTGGGACTATTGTAAGAGACTATATCATTTGGCAGACATATTCAGTTGCAGTCTCTCTCTCTCTCTCTCTCTCTCTCTCTCTCTCTATCTATCTATCTATCTAACTATCTCTCCCGCTCTCGGAGTATGAGAACCAGATCGCTCTGCGTGCCGATAACACAGCCACAAGTCGTGAGCGGCGGCGTGATCTGTCCATGTCAGTCGATCATGATGTGGCATGGCCTGTACGGATTATGAAATAAAATCGCAATTATTGATTTTTATTTTTTTTTCCGCGCAATTATTGATTCATGAAGCGCTTGCAATATCCGTAGAGTATATCTTATAACCACAACCGGGGGGTTAAGGTGGATTATATCACTCAGTGTAATCAATCAGGGAAGGATTCTGCAGACTGTTTTTGAGAGTTCAGCCTTCTCCTGATGAGTCGGTCGGTGAATCTCCGACGAAACAGTTTGTCACAACCCTCCTTGCCTCGTTTCTTGTCCTCTTCACCCTCCCTCTCTCCCCCTGCCCTACGGTTTACCAGGCAGCTCTGTTTTTTGTATATATAGTCTACTTTGATTTTGGTTAAGGTAGATTATCATTTACAGTGTAATCAGTGAGGGGATTCTGCAGACTGTTGAGGGTTCAGCCTCCT